AGTGGCCAAAAACAAACTGCAAAAGAGAAAGCAGTCAGAGTCTCACAATCCCCTTTCAAGGGCTTCCACTGGGCCTCACTCCTGTAGAGTTGCACCATCTCCCTATAGCACCTCAGGCTAGAGATCCAGATGACAGCATCTGGCCTTTGGGGACATTTAAGATCCAAACCACTGAATCACCCTTCTCAAAAGAACCAACAAATGCATACTTGCCAGTCGCCCTTATGTTCAAGCAGACTTGTTCCAAAGTTCTCCAGTTGGAGTAGATCAGACAGTAGGTCCTGGGGTCACCAGGCTTGAGAGGAGCTTGATATATTCGAGGTTAGGAAGGCTGAGGCCTTTAATGCACACACATATCTACCCTGTAGGGAGAAAACAACCAAGCAGGAGGAGACACCAGGGAAGAGCTCTGAGCACCCTGAAAGGTGAGCTATTGTGAGGTCAGAAGGACAGCCTGTGACTTAGATCTAAGATTGTCTCATTTACTTCACAAAGGACCACAGAATCGCCCTGAGGAGGAGCAGAAGGAAGGAGAAATGCTAGGTCCTCTGGTCACTGCTAACACCACTGTTCCACTCCCCAGTTCATAAGCAGAAACCGCCTCAGGCTGGTCGATGCCCCCATATTTACTGTTAATCCATTTGACAAGCAGGAGGGAAGGTGGCTCAAGCTAGAAGGTTCAAGGAGGCATGGCCATGAAGCAGAGCAGGAGGAACACAGACTCTGGGCTCAGAAGGACCAAGTTCCAGGCCTGGTGCTGCCACTTGCAGCTGTGTGGTCATTGGAAAGTTGCTGCATTTCTCTGAGCCTTGGTTTCCTCATCTGTAAAAGAAAAATAACTAAAGTATGCACTTCATAACAAACAGAGGATTCATAGATGTAACACACACCTGAGAGGCCCTGGGCCTGGCACAAGTTAGGATTTATTAAATGTTAGCTATTACAATAGAAGACTGTGCCATGTGACAGCCCAGCACCTGGCTCCCTGACCAACTCCATATTCCTGAAATTTACATATTTAAACTCCAGAAGAATCCAGGGAATAGCAGAGGCTCAGATCCAGCCTTCACATTTTTCTGGAGGTGTTTTTTAGTTTGTTCCTCCCTGTAAGGTCCTTGCTTAGCATGTGGATGGCCATTGTAAGTGATAGCTGCCATCTTCAGTTTTACTTTCCTTTCTAAGGGCATTTCTGAGAAAGGCTCACCTGCCGGGTTTCTGTTCTCGAGACTAAAAGGCTCAGGGGTCATTCTAGTTAAACTGGGCTAACTGGGCTGCATGAAATAACCACACAAGAGACACAAATACCTTTTTCTTTGGGGTCGCTGTGACGGCTCCTCTGACCTTAAGGGTCTGCAGAAAGAGAGAGAGAGAGCACGCGCTGACCCCTTTTATTGAGGAGAAGCTATTCAAATGAGGCAAGGGGTCAGCTTTCAGGGGGCTGACTCTGTCTTCATGATGTCCACTGTCAGCAGGTTGACTGACACCTGGGTAGGCCACACCCAAGGGCACAGTAAGAGAAGGGGACACACACAAGGCACTTCTATGGAAGATTCTATCCTAAACAGGGCAAGGGGTTACATTACAAAGGAACAGGTGAGCACAGCTTCACCCATGGGGCTGTAGCAAGACACACCCATTTCTGTGACTGAGGGCCTCAGCACCCAGCTGGGGAGTGTAACTCAGTCACCCGGAAGGTTGGCCTCCCACACTCACCCCCTCCTACACACCCTGCCCTTAACCAGCAATAACCAGCCATCATCCTCTCTGGATCCCCATCATTCAATATCTGCCAGGCCTTCTACCCCGTCTCAGTTTTTTGAGGAATGTGACATTTTCTGTCCCCTCAGGCCAGGCAGGGATGTTCCAAAGGAAGAGCATATCCCATCAGGAGGCATGTGATGTCACAAAGTGCTCAGTTTGATCACTTGGTCGAGGTTGCATTGGCCAGATTTCACCATTGTAAAATTTCTGATGGCTGGTTATTGCTGGATTCCTAGATCACACTTCCCAGCTCAATGGGATGCCAACACCTCAGAGGATCACACTTTGAAACACACACCTGCACCCACTATTCTGGGCCTCATTTCTCTCTGGAGAAGTCTGTCCCTTTCTTAGATGAAACTTGCTTTCTACGCTTGCCTCAACATTTCTTGGGTATTTAATCTTCAACACTAGGGGATCATGGACCTGATCTTGACCTCCAAAATCAGTATCAATGTCAAGGTCATGAAAAATTAAATAAAGATAGGGAACTAATATGGACCAAAGGGGACTACACAGCCATAAAAACTACACATGATTCTAGGTTGGGTCATGACGAGAAAAAAGAATTCTGTAAAATATATTGTTGGGAAAATTAGGCAAGTTAAATGCAAACTGTAGATTATACAGTATAATTTATTAACTTTCTTCAGGGAGAGAATGTCTTAGTTCTAGGGCTAAATAGTGGCCCCCAAAGGTTTCTGTGTCCTAATACCTGAAACTTATTAATATGTTACCTTATATGGCAAAAGGGACTTTGGAAATGTGATTAAATTAAGCATCTGGAGATGAGGAGTAGATTATCCAAGTCAGTATAATGTAATCACAGCATCTTTATAAGACAGACCAGCAAGGTCAGACAGGAAGGGCAAGCAGAGAAAGAAGAAATAATGTCATCAAAGCCAGAAACCAAGGGCAGCCTCTAGAAGCAGGAAAAGGCAAGGAATGGATTCTTCCGCAGAATCTTCAGAAGCCTTCTGACACTTTGTTTTTAGCCTTGAAGACTCATTTAGGACTTCTCACCTCAATAAAATAATAAATTTGTAAAAGAATAAATTTGTTAAAGTCACAGGTGTAGGGCTGGACAATGGGAATGGAGGTGGGTGGTGTCTCTTTCTGCTAATCTGTAGCCCAACTGAACTAATGAATGAGAATAAACAATCGTCTGCACCCTCTCACTCAGTGTGGTTTAATGACAAATGACCAGCCCGGATTCTATCACTTGAGGGCTTGTGGAAATGCAGATTCTCAGGTCCTACCCAGAGCTACAGATTCAGAATCTCCTTTTCACAAAATCCCCTGAGTTCGGTCCTCAGCCATGAAAAAAATAAACGGGCGGGGGGCGGGGGGGGGGAGAATCAACTTCGTGGTAAAGCACTCCTGGGTTCAATACCCCCAGACGCAAAAACAAAAACCAACATGGGAAATGCTAGCAGAGTATTCTGCACACTCAACTGGGCCTAGGAAGAGTGATATCGCTAGGGTCCCGAGGTCACCTACAAACACAAAGGTGCAGAAGCGTGACATTGCCATACCACAGAGCATACTGTGAGTCTCCGAGGGGCTGGGGTCTCTGCCTTCTAGGACAAGCAGCTTCTCAAGGTTCCTTCCCTTAGGTCCGCTGCCCCTTCACCTCTCCCTATAGAGTCGACACCCCACCCAGGCCCGATGGCTCTTTTCGGGGAGCACCGGCTCCCAGCTTCTGGGTGGCAACCCACCTGTACCCTCCCCTCCGCGTGCCCCCAGTCCTGCGCGCGCGTCCCCTCCCCTTGGGCGCACGTTCCCGCTCCGTCCCCCACGACGCTCGCTCCGCTCACTGTTCCGCGCGACCCTGCCAGGCGGACGCCTGCTCTGGCCCGTGAGGGGCGCGCTCGTTGCCTAGCATCGGGACGCGATTCGCGGACTGGTGTGGGCGCATGCGTCGGGTGCGCACACCAAGAAGGAAGGAGCCCTTTTCTCAGAACGGTTCCTCTAGCCTGGCAGAGGCGGTTCTCACGGTTGGACCTTGAGCGCTGCGAGGTCGAGGAAGAGTTGGTTTGCTCCTCGGAGCTCCGTGGGTCGCCACTCTGTGGGCCCGCTCCTCCTTCTCATCCCCGCCATCCTTCCCCTCCACTTTCTCCTCGCTCCAGGTCCCCTTCTATTCTTCCCTCTCCTCCTCCTTTTCTCTGGCAGGACCCCTAGGGCCTGGGGAGAAACCCTTCTGCAGCCCGCAGAGGAAACCTGCCCTAAACGCCCCAGGTTGATGATTACCAGATAAAATACTGCAAGGCTATGTAAATTTGAATTTCAGATAATGGGTTAATTGTTTAGTAGGAATATTTTATGAAATAAAGTTACTTATTGTTTCTCTGAAGTTCAAATTTAACTGAACCAGCTCTGCTTTTATTTAACTTTGGGACCTTCCTCGGTCCCTTTCCTCCTTATTCAGCTGCCAACTTCTCCGAGGCTGGTCACGGAAACTCCCTCAATGGCTGTAGCAACTTCTTCAGGCCAGAGGCAGCTCTTTCTGTAGAAGGGGCTTTAGTGGCCTAGGTTCCTAGTGGTGCATATAAAAACAACATACTTAGTGCAGGCGAGATGGGCACTATTGTAGGTTCATGGACAGGGACCACATGCTAAATGAGAGGACAAACAAGCATTCATTAGGTTCCACTGATAAGGCTATGCAACTTCCAGATTCCAGACACACACTGCACTTGGTCTACTCTAAGGTTTTCCCTAATGACATAATCCCCTTCCCACATGTTATCTTTCTGAAGCAGCAGAAGGACTCCCTTCCCTTTTTCATGTTACTTCAAATGACATGAGACTTCTGTGTAGCACTGTCTTTTGAGTGGATCCTACTAAAGAAGCACAGTGAAGACTGTGTTCCAAGTCGGTAGTAATAATGCTTTTCTCTGAGCAATTAGGACACTAACTTTGTAGAAAATTAAGTTCATTTTTTTTAGCTACTTTACTCTTCAGTTTAGAGTTTTTAGGATTATGTTTATGCATACACATGTGTCCCTTTCCCTGCTGCTATTACTAATGCAAAAGATGACATATGTTATTTCTGCACCTTGCTTTTTTCACTTCATTCTGTGTCCTAGGGAACATTTCCAGTTTTAGAGAGCATCATCCTTCTCTTTTATGTCTGAACAAAAATCCAGGATGCTGTATCTCATTGATCCCTATTTTAGGAACATCTGAATGGTGTCCCACTTTGACTATGGTAAATGATAGTGCAAGTAAATATGTACATATGCCGTTTATATTTTTGCTTGTGTACCATTGAGATAGGATTCAAGAAGTTGAGATTGGTGAGTCAAACACATGCGATTTTCTAGGTTTGGCCAATTCCCCTCCATAGGGTTGTATTTTGCTCTCCACCAATATCTCATGACGGAAGAAAAGCGCTGGGGCCTATGGATGGACCTCAAGATGTCAGTGTTTCTGCAATTCTATGAAGAATGCTGGGTGCAGTTGTCCAGAGACAGAAGCAAACACACTGGCACTCTGTCCACTGTCATTTCCAAACTTAGTGTCCTTTCTCATCAAAATTGAAAATGTTAATGCTGATCTTTCATCTTTCAAACTGTCTTTTTACACAGATAGCTACTGCCCAATAGTGATATAATCTCATGTACCTGTAGTTTAAATTGAACGTATTTATTTCTTCAAAGGCTTTTACATAATCCTATTGGATTTTTCTCCTGATATCTGCCATCCGAAGTCTTATAGAAGTTTCTCAGTGGCACAGTTAACTGAATTTTGAAATACAGGAATTTCCTTTGCACCTACATTGTAGTCTTAACGAACACTCTGGGACTGTAGTTTAAGGTTGGAAAACATCCACTGCCAATCTGTGTGGGAATGGAGATGTGATTTCTTGTTTCAGTTTCTGGCCCTGGAAGTATATAATGCAGGTTGACATTTCTTGTGATTCAAGCAACATGAGTTGTTCAAATGACATTACTCCGGTGTAAGTTTTAACATGAGTGTTGTTTGTCTTGTAATTTTTAGGTTGAATTAAGAAATATTATCAAGAAGTCCAAAGTCATTTTTAATGTTGAAGAAGTAATGATTGACAGTGATTCTTCTCATTCAAAGAATTTATACTTTGTATTCCAATAATCTATCTGCAAAAGAGATCCCATTTGTGACAGCATCAAAATACATATAGAATACTTAGAAATAGGGCTGGAGTTGTGGCTCAGAGGTAGAGCGCTCGCCTAGCATGCATGAGGCACTGTGTTTGATCCTCGGCACCACATAAATATAAAATAAAGATATTGTGTCTACCTATAACTGTAATAAAATAGGTACTTGTCACTCCGTTTTTCTGTATGCTTAACAAAAACACTGTTGAAATCTTGAGAACTGTTTGCTAATCTTGTTCCCATAATGTGCTGTCCCCAACTGCCAAACTGAAGAATGCACTCCCTCACTGGGTTGCAGGCAAACCGCCCACTCGCCCTGACCCGTCAATGAACTTCCCTCCCTGCCCTCTCCAAGAAAAGTATATAAGCTCTGCTTAAGCTGTTCTCAGGGCTCTCTCTCTCTTTGCTCTATTCAAGTGAGCTCTGAGCCCCAGCATGCTGGACCCCTAATAACCCTTTGCTGTTGCATGAGACAGTCTCTTGGTGGTCTCTTCCTCCCACGCTCGCGTGACCTTTACATAACTAAAAACAAAATATGAAGAAAATACTTAGGAGTAAATTTAACCAAAGAGATGAAAGATTATGCACTGAACATTGTAAAATACTAATGGGGAAAAACATTGAGGATGGCACAAATAAAGGGAAAGATATCCTGTGTTCATGAATTGGAACAATCCATGTTAAATTGGAACAATTTTGTTAAAAAATGTCCATATTACCTAAAGTAACCTACAGTTTCAATGCAATAAAAGATTTGGAACCTATCAACATTCCAATGAAATTATTCACAGCACTAAAAAGAATAAAACAATTCTAAAATTTCTTTGGAACCACAAGATTCCAAATAACCAAAGCAATTTTGAGAAAGAAGACAGAACTGCAGACATTCCACTTGCCTATAATTGTTCCATGAAAACTGTTCATGGAGGCTGATTCATTCCAAACCCAGCATTGACTCCTAAAATAACAACAACTGGGCAGCACTGGAAACGTGTCTACTTATCAAGAGCCAAGGGAAAACATTCAAAGTCATCTGCTTGGTTTTTAATTGACTGTTAATGTTGTTCCAACTCTGCCCAACTGTCCTCACCAAAAAGAATGCTAATCCAAAATGTTCTTTCAACACATTTTTTTTGGCCACTGAAATGAAACGAGTTTTAATAATTCACCACTGGCTAATGTCATTTCTTCTTTTATAACAAATGAACTATTTGGGAACTTATATTTGTTGCACTCTTACTTTCATTTATAATTTTGGTGAAGACAAGAGCATTTCATAAAATATACTACGTTGATAAGAGTAAATTGAGATTTATGTTTGGGTTGCTCCCAACTCTTTTTTGTGAATAGCAATTTAAACAAGTTTCCCTTTGAAAAGAATGAGAGGGTAATTGACAGCTATTTCATGGGTAGTAGTACACAGTCTTTTTGATATACTTCCCAAAAATTGAGAGCATGGATTGCTGTAATGATTTTTTCATAAATTCTTTGCAAGTCAGTGATTTCTAATTCAACAAAACTGAAAGATGACTTAACCAAATGATTATGTAGAATATTAAGAATTATGTTTTGTGATTTTTTAGCATGTAATTCATAAGAAGTTCAAAGAATTGACATTGCTATAATAAAACATACTATTCTTTTTTTTTTTTTTTTTTTTTTAGTGCAGGGTCTTGCCTCGGGGAGTTGCTAAGGCTGGCTTTGAGCTCATAATTCTCCTGTCTCAGTTTCCCAAGCTGCTGGGATTATAGCCATGTGCCGCTTTACCCAGCAAAACATGCTATTCTTTGTGTGAGCAGATTTCTTAGTACTTCTATAGATACCACAAATGGGAAGAAAAATTGAACCCTTCCTGTCTTGTAGCAATATGTAATAGTCATCTATGGATAAATGAACCAATTAGTTGAAAATTTGTTTAATTCATCTTATTAACGTGCATTCCCATTTTTTACTTTTGTTTATCATTTAAAAGTTTTTAAAAATTGCCGAAGTCTGGCTTGGCACAAATCAGGAGCCACTTGTCAAAAAGAAACTAACTTTATTTTTAGAACTACAAACGTCAAACAAAACAGCTCCTCAGGGAAAAAACCCTCAGAGCCCAACTGCCACCACCGGCTTCCACAAGCCTCTCCTCCACACACCAGCCTCTCAACCTCCCACAATCCTCCTGCTCTTGAGGCCGATTGGCTGGGTCGCGTGGGCGGAGCCAAAGAAGTCCCCCAATGAGCAGCTCCGTGGAGGAGCCAATCAGCTAGATGTTGCTGGGGCTGCTGTGAGCCAATCATTAGCTGGCAGTCTGAAGGGCAGGGAAACAGCCCAATGAAC